GAAATAAAATACAAATACAACTTCAAGTCTGAACTTCTGACAAACATTTTAAACTGTGTGTGCATTCGTAGTTTGTCAAAGTTTAAATATTTTAAGTCTAAAAAAAGTCTTACCCCAGTGTTTCCAATTTGCAGTGAGGACTTCTCAGTCCAGCAGAAAGTAACTTCACACCTGAACTCTGCAGAGGATTGAAGTTTAAGTTCAGTTCTCTCAAACATGATGATTCTGAGCCGAGAGCTGAAGCCAGATCAGTACAGCAATTCTCTGAGAGACTACAACAGCCAAGCCTTGAAATAAAATAAGATCGCCTTTATGTTTTCATGTATTTTATGTATTTGCATGTGCTAATCAGTTTATAGAAGAAACAAAAATACTTTGAACCCACAGCTTTTAAATAAAATATCAGTGCACTTTAATGACACCAGGAAATATAATTTAATACTATTAATAATACATTCTAGTCGGATTGATCTGTACAAACACATCCAGAACAAAAGATCTGTGTGTATGATCTGAACATTTATCTTTAAAATATACATTTAAAATATAATTAAAAAATAAAATAAAAATGGTTTTAGATAAGTATAGCCAAAGTACTGTAAACTTATAAGTATATCAATCAAATCCATTTTTGGCATATAAATGGCACATGAAATGACATTCATGGTATATATATATATATATATATATATATATATATATATATATGCACTTGACTGTGTTGGATTCAGAAGCTCTATAAACACTTCACACATTCTACACAAAAAAAGCAGACTTTCTTATTGTGGTGATCATGGGAAAGAGCTGTTCACTTACTCAGCTGATCTGGATGCTTCAATCACAGGCAGAAGATTGTGGAGAACTTGATCCTGTGTGATATTTCTTTGGTTGATCTCATCGCTGATGTATTCCTTTAATTTAAACACTCCCAGCTGCTCTGACGTAAGCAACACAAAAACAAGTGCTGACCACTGTGCTGGAGACAGTTTGGCATCTCTTATCATCCCAGTGCTGAGATAGTCTTGGATTTCATTTTCCAGAGTATGATCACCCAGTTCATTCAGACAGTGAAACAAATTGGTGGATTTCTCAGGAGAAAGATCGTCTCTAATCTTCTTCTTGACATACTGGATAATGTCCTCTGTGTTGTGAGACATTCCTCTTGTTTGTGTCAGTAGGCCCTTAAAAAGAGTTTGATTGGACTCTAACGAGAGACCCAGAAGGAAGCGAAGGAAGAGGTCAAGATGGCCATTCTTACTTTGCAAAGCCAGGTCCACAGCCCTCTCATATACTGTGAAGCCTGCTGAGGACTGAATGTTTAAGCCCTGGTATTCACTAAGAACATCTACATGTTTCAAACTGCATGAAAACACATAAAGAGCAGCCAGATGTTCCTGCGTGCTGAGGTGAACAAAGCAGTAGACTTTCCTCTGACACACACTAAACTCCTCTCTGAAGATCTGAGTGCACAACCCTGAGTACACTGATGCTTCTGTCACGTCAATGCCACACTCTCTCAGATCTTCTTCATAGAAGATCACATTGCCTTTCATAAGCTCTTGAAAAGCCAGTTTACCTAGTTTTAGGATCATGTCTTCATCTGTCAATTTCTTCTCAAAGTCTTTCTCACGTTTGATGTTGGTCTGAAGGATCAGGAAGTGTGTGTACATTTGCGTGAGAGTCTTGGGAATCTCTCCACTCTCTGCTCCACTCATCATCTTCTCTAGAACAGTGGCTGAGATCCAGCAGAACACTGGGATGTGGCACATGATGTAGAGGCTCCTCGATAACTTCAAGTGTGAGATGATTTTATTGGCCAGACTCTGATCAGCGATTCTCTTCCTGAAGTATTCCTCCTTCTGTGGGTCATTGAAGCCTCGTACCTCTGTCACTCGATCAACACACTCAGAGGGGATGAGATCAGATGCTGCTGGTCTGGAGGTGATCCAGATGAGAGCCGAGGGAAGCAGATTCCCCAAAATGAGGTTCGTCAGCAGCACGTCCACTGATGTCTCTTTGGTTGCATCACGTAGATTCTCATTGCTGTGAAAATTTAAGTGAAAACGGCACTCGTCCAAACCATCAAAGATGAACAACACTTTATATTTATCACTGAAAATGTCTATTTTCATAGTGTTAGGGAAAAAAACATGGAGAAGATCTGAAAGACTGAGTTTGTCCTTTTTCAAATTGAGCTCTCTGAAAGGAAGTGGAAATATGAGGAAGACGTCCTGATTCTCTTTCCCTTCAGCCCAGTCTAGAATGAACTTCTGCACAGAGACTGTTTTTCCAATGCCAGCGACTCCTTTGGTCAGCACAGCTCTGATGGGTTGGTTTTGTCCAGGTAAGGGTTTGAAGATGTCATTGCAGTTGATTGGGGTGTCCTCCATTGTGGCTTTCCTGGAAGGATTTTCAATCGATCTGATCTCATGTTCATTATTGATCTCTCCACCTTCATATTCTGTGATGTAGAGCTCAGTGTAAATCTCATTGAGAGGAATGGGGGCACTGTTTTTTGATATCCCTTCATGCAAACACTGAAAACTGCTCCTCAGATCTGATTGGAATGCATCTCGATTTTCATCAAGGAGTGAGGCATTCCTGGAAATCCAAAATTAAACCTGTTATTCTTTAAATACATTTTAAACCATTACTCACATAGTAGACCATTTACTTCTTTTAATATACAGTAATTACAATTATTTAATTAGGAGATTTGTACATTAATACTTTTAATACTTAGAATGTAAACTAAAGAAAAATAATCTGATTGAAAGGGACTGCAAACAATAAATAGTAAACTACAGCTGAATACATTGTAGCAAATGCAACATTTAATAATATACATAAAATGTATTTAAGGGGGCCGAAGGCCAATTTAACTCAAAGGGAATGGTTCATTGATTTACACTGAATCTTAACCGAATCACCAATGGAACCGAGCAAACGACTCGTTTAGAGTTCATTTGAACGGGACGTAATTATAACCTTTGCAAGGATATAAATACCCAATCTATAGTGAAACACTATGTCTTAGCAAGGTAACTTTAGATCGAACAGTACAAGACATTAAATGTGCAAACACGACACAAGAAAATGTATCTTTTCAAATATATGGAAGACTTTATTAGCTATTCTAACCACAAAACTAAGGTCTAAACATAATCACGCACACACCCATTCATACAGTCGCGAAAGGGAAAGAGTGAGTTGGAAAGAGTGAGAGAGAAAGTTTCAACTTTCTATATGCACGTAAGACATGACCTGAAAGGACCACCAAGCATTAATTTGAACCTTTGTTTCTTAGAGAGGTTATTCAATTAACATTAAAGCACCAGTTCAGTTAGAGCCTGGAGTACTTGCGCTTTGTAGTGGCTGAGGGAATTCCCTTTGTCTGCGTTGCGTCGAAGGGGGGTTTCCCGACCAGGTCCGTTGCGGCGGGTTGTCTTTGAAGTGCCTGGATGGAAAATCCTGAGTTCGCCGGTCACGTGTGACTACCAGCCGAATGAAAAGTCTTTACGATTTCGAAGCGCGTTGCAGGAAGACGTTTGAAAACGAACTTTGCAGCAAACTTAACTTTGAACCGAGACTTTTCACGAAAAAAAAAATAAAGGGAAGAAACGAAAGTAAGGCGAGTTGGATGGCTTGAATGAGCTGAGTTGTATCCCTGATCTTGATAGGTTATTCGTCTGCTGGTCGAATTTGGTCTAGTCGATGTAGTAGAAGCATGCGAACACGCTCTTTGTTTCAGAGAGAAGCACGAACAGAACACTCTCTTGCTGTTTTAGAGAGAGGCACAAACTTAACAGTTACAAACTGAACGAACGAGAAACTGAGCAAAAACAAACAACGAACACAAAACTGAACATGAGGTCTTGTTCCTTTGTTTGGATCTTTAACTTAAACTCTAGTCCAACCTCCCAGAAACTTCTGGCCAATGAGACAATGGCATCATTTTAGGAGGTGGATCTACTTCTGCTTATCATAAATTATGGATGGTCTGTGAGCTGCCTGGTCTCCAGCATTTAGCAGAGAACAAGAGAACACAGTTTTAAGATTATATATTATAATCATAATAATCACAATCAAGCCATCTTTTGAATTAGGAGAATACGGTTCGTTTGAGAGTAAACGAGGCATTCACACTTCTAATGGTTGTATAACAATTACAAGAGTTAATAGTTAACACCAATTACATGATTAATATGTGATATAAGCAGAACACATGAACATATGAATTGTAGGAACGCATAATAAGAATTATGATGTTTGGTTATAAGTCCAAGAATTGTTCTGTGGTGAGTTTATATGACAGTGAGGTTACTGTGTTTATACAACAGTGAGGTTACTGTGTGTGTTGAGGGGTCAGTCAAAGTTCTTGCTGATAACTGAGTTTAGCAACAGATCTGTTTAACATCTCTGTCAGGGGATCAAAAGAGTGCCCCCTTTCTGTGGCATTCCAGCCCATTCTCACCCCCAAGGCGTCACCTAACTGACGCCTTGGGAAGCATTTGACCATGCTTCAATATCTGACGCTTTAGGCGCCCTTTAGCGTCAGTTAGATGACGCCCTAGGATCGCATGTACCCTACCCCCACCCCAGACCTAAACCTAACCGCGTCCTCTAACTGACGCTTTCCTTTCCTTTGTAAGTGACGCAAAAGGGCGCCTAAAACGTCAAATATTGAAGCATGGTCAAAGGTGACGCCTTGGGGTGAGAATGCGTTGGGCATTCTGTTGGTCTGCTGGACCATAAAAAAGTCTTCCGAGGGGGGGTTTACTTAACCCAGAGCAGACAGCCTGGAGCCGCCTTGGGACTTTGGAATGTGGTGTCCAGAACCTCTGGAGTGTTGAATCCATGTGAATTAATCCCATGAGAGATTAATTTGATTAAGTTGTGTTTGATTCACCTCACTTCTCTACAACATGTCTGTGAAATCATCTTTTTTGAGAATCATGACAAAACTACAGACCAAAAAGTCATATAAAGGAGGGTTTTACCTGGATTCTTTTAAATCCAATGGTTTATCCATTGAATGTTCACTCCTCGAGGACTCATGGCTGGGACATGGAGAAGATCTCCCCATCTGCACAGAGCTTCAGAGAAACAGAGATATTGCAATTTAATAGTCCCAACAGTGTTCATTTAGAAGATATTATTTATTTTTTGAACATGATATCTTTTTAGAATCTTGTTGCTTTACGTGACGTTACATGAACCTAAAAATTTTAAATTGATGTTTAATTTTTATTACCGGTAATCTAAATATTTTACCTGGATTCTTTTAAATTCGGTGGTTTATCCATTGAATCTTCACTGCTCATGGACTCATGGCTGGGACATGGAGAAGATCTCCCCATCTGCATTGAGCTTTAGAGAAACAGAGATATTGCAATTTAATAGTCCCAACAGTGTTCATTTAGAAGATATTATTTATTTTTTGAACATGATATCTTTTTAGAATCTTGTTGCTTTACGTGACGTTACATGAACCTAAAAATTGTAAATTGATGTTTAATTTTTATTACCGGTAATCTAATTATTTTACCTGGATTCTTTTAAATTCGGTGGTTTATCCATTGAATCTTCACTGCTCATAGACTCATGGCTGGGACATGGAGAAGATCTCCCCATCTGCATTGAGCTTCAGAGAAACAGGGATATTACAACATTAATTCAGCGTAACTTCCTGTCATTCAGATTGAAGTGCAGCACAATTAAGTAGGTGCAATTGAGAGGTGCAATTAATAAAATAAATGTGAAAGTGTGAGATATAAAATAACGTATAATTTATAACATAAAAAGTAAAGGAAGGACGCATTAATTTCATTTCATAAACTTAAATCATGATTATTTACCTGGGCTTGAGTTGATCCATTGAATGATTTCTTCTAATGACCAGGTCTTGTTAAATCTGATCTCCTCTGCTGGTGTCACGATCACAGACTCCTTGACCTCCCTCTCTGGCCACCAGAGGGCGTCCTCGCCCGAATACTGACTTTCCGGTACGATTTGCAATTCCCATGATACATCATTCCTGGACTGATCCCGCATCCACCTGCTATCACTGATCACACACACACCTGCATCTCGTTCCCTTCCCACATAAAAAACACACTCACATTGTAACCAACGCAAAGTCTTGTTTTAATGCTGTGAACTATTCTGAAAATATCTGTCTGCCTGCCTGCCTGCCTGCCCCTCTGTCTGTCCGTCTGTCTACCTGCCTGCCTACCTGTCTGTCTCCCCGCCTGTCTGCCTGCGTGCGTTTGACACTTTCTGAACTGATCCTCTCGTTTCCTGCTGCCTGCCCATTTACCCGCTGCCTAGTATCTGGATTCTGTCTCGCTCGCTGCCAGCCTCTGAACCCTTGCCTGGTTTTCACCACATTTGTGCCTGCTCTGCTCTGTTGATCTTGCCCGTGACTGACCTTTGTCTGTCAACCATTCTCCTAATAAACTTGTTGCAAATAAACCTGACTGATTCTGATGTTTCCCAACAGCTGGACTGTGTTTCAGTGAAATAGAAATGGTGGTAACATAATATTAAGTTAAGTTCTTACAAAGTGAGGAACAAATTTCACTGCCTTAATGATTATTAGTTTAATACTGTAGTTGCCAAACTCTGTATAATAAGCAAAAATTGTATGTTTTTGACAGCAAATAAAGGATTAGTTTCAAAAAAAAAAAAAAAAAAAAGGGAATGCTTTAGATCATAGCCTGGAAAGTACTGCGTAAATAAAACAAATTTACAGCATTACTTTATGTATTTATAGTATATCTATAAAATACTTACAGTACATGTAAAAACAATATACGTTTGTCGTTTGTGACAGGTCAGACTAAGAGCGGTTCAGAAGTGCATTAGATGCAAGAAAAATCGAGTGCCTGGGAGGAGTGCTGGAAAGTGCTCCGACTGGGGACTCTGTAGTTCTACTGGGGGACTTCAAAGCCCACGTGGGTGGCGACAGTGACACCTGTAGGGGTGTGATTGGGAGTAATGACCTGATCTGAACTCGAGTGGGGTTCTGTTATTGGACTTCTATGCTAGTCACACTTTGTCCATAACGAACATTTTTGTTCAAGCATAAGGGTGTCCATCAGTGCACGTGGCACCAGGAAACCCTAGGCCGGAGGTCGATGATCGACTTTGTGGTTGTTTTATCCGACCTCCGGCCGCATGTCTTGGACACTCGTGTGAAGAGAGGGGTGGAGCTGTCAACTGATCATCACCTGGCAGTGAGATGGACCCAATGTCAGGGAGGTCCGTACCTTGAGTACCTCAAGCCTCTGGATGTTGTGGGGCTGTCTTGCTGACACTCGTCTGATGCATCGGATGGTGGTCGGGGAGAGTACCTCTGGACTGGCAGACCGGGGTGGTGGTCCCTCTTTTCAAGAATGGGGCCGGAAGGTGTGTTTCAACTACAGGGGAATTACACTTCCTAGCCTCCCCGGGAAAGTCTATGCCAGGAAAATCCAATTAAAACTAAAACTATTGCAAGTTTATTTTTGCTTAAATACTGGGGAAATATACCATTGTTCCATGAAGTTAGTACGATAAAAAATACATATACAATCTGATATCAGTGACTCTCAAACCTTAATAATAATAATAATAATAAAATAATTCAAAACATACTTAACACTTTATCCCTTTTTTTACATATTGTTCCCTCAAACCTACACGTATGTTCTTTATAGGGACACTATAATTACTAAAAGGAAGACTGCAAATTCATTTTTCTTACGCAGTACTTTCCAAAGCGTTACCAATATATATATATATATATATATATATATATATATATATATATATATATGTGTGTGTGTGTGTGTGTAATAAATAAAAATAAAAACGTACTATTTGGCCTCAGTATTAATGGAGCGTTCGGTAACAACATTTTCAGAACTGAATCCAGCTATAATGACTGAACATAAGCCAAACAATAGCCATAGTAAGTACTTGTAGCTACAAATGAAAAATCAATGAAAAATACTGCCCTGTAGTCACATACTGTAAACATTCCTATTGTTTTTTTTTTTTTTTTTTTTTTTTGCTTTAATCAATCTAGTTATCTCTCAAAACAACAGTTGTTTTTGTCACAGTAAAAGACAAACATGTAACCAAACTACTTATGTACCTCGTGGTATTTACCTAATTCTTTCAGACAGGTTACCTGATAATGAGACTGCTTTCAAATTCCAAATTCACATCTGAAAGTAAAATAAAAACCAGCCAAAAATTACTTATTCACTGTCTCATTTCAGTAGGCCTATATATAAACAATATTAAATTCATACATACTTAGTGTTAAAGCAACAGCATGGAACGTTTCCTCTTCGGTCGCTCTACTGTTTGGAAATGAAATTGTCCATTACCACTTGTCGTAAATAATTTAGGCTACCGCAGCCTACCGTCGCACTAACGCTCGTTGTTTATCCAGAACCAGTTTTGAAATGAACAATGTCCACAGACAAGCGTATGTTACATGATTTCAGGAAAGGATCATCAGAAACGACGAAAAACTAAATAATGACTATTGTAGCACTTTATGTAAAGCAGTCGAATTTTTGTGGTCGGGTTACGAACCCCGGAGTTCTGTGTTGCCAGTAAAAGTGATACAGGCCCCGTCAGGCTATGGCAGAAGTGCCTTTCACCCTGTTACCACTTGATGAACCACTGATAAGAGTTTGGAAACATTATTTTAAGGTAAAAAATGTTACATAGTGTTGCTTTAACAAAATATATTCAAAGGAAATCGACATGTACAAATATGATAGATGAACATTCAGCAAGCTAATCATAATTATAAAACACTTATTGTAAGAAGAATTAGCAACATTGTAAAATTCTAAAGTTTGTTTATACTCACTTTGGCATTCTGTTTGTATGAGCTTTATCTTTAGGAACAGCAGAACTTCAATCTTTATTGTATCTTATTGAATCTTTCAATCTTTATAGTAGCTAAACATATATTATCCAGCCCTGATGGCAACAACCACGCAAATCAGTCAACTAAGATGTTTTCAGGCAATTTCTAACTTTCTTCTCTCAGAGCACCACCCACCCTCAGATCACGAGAGTATCAGGTAACTGTAAACAACTGCAAGAAGCACGGACAGGACAGACCAGTTTCAGGAAACATTGAAAACCCGGACCACATTCACAAAACATCTAAAGGCTAAAAGTAGCTCCAAACTTGCTGACTTAGGAGAACTCTAATGGTAAGATAAAATGTTTTGTGAGTTTCACTGATCACGGATCGCTTTGAGCACAAGAGGGAAACAATCTGTGGCTCCGCTCCACTCACTCCAGGCCAGCTTTTGTTTGCTTAGCAACTGTTACTGAAACAATTTTCATCTACAACGCCAACAGCATTTAATAATAAAAAACAAAAATGAATTGGCTTAAAAAATGTATATGAAATAAAATTAATTAATTAATTGTCATATAGTAGGCTATGTACAGTATCTACAGTAATATGTAGCACTAATTTATATGGAGTTTACAGCCTACCTTTTCTAGATGTCCTTCCTTTTTAACATTCTGATTGCTAGAGATAGGCTCCTTCTCATTCAAATATTTGGGCGTACACTATTACAAATCACATGACAAACCACAAACCATAGCAACACTAAACAAACCAGACTCATTGAGAGAAGTTCATTATATAAAAAAAAAAAAAAAAAAAAAAAAAAATCACATAACTTGAATTCCCAGAGAAAAACTGTTGGAAAAACTGCTTTTTTTCCTTCAACATGTCTTGTTTATACACAAATATAAATGTAAAGAGATTCACAAAAATATATCAAATCCACAAATACATAGATTAAGATCCACAAATAAATGTAAAGTTTCACAAAAAAAAAACCTCACAAATGAATAAAATGAGATTTGCAAATAAAAATAAATATTTACAAATGTTTTTTTTTATGTCACAAACACAACTCTGCTTGGCATCTATTTGTAAACCGCTTTCTGTGCATTTGTAAATCCCCTCACACATTTGTGGATTTTGAAACACTTCTAGCTGGAGGTGCAGACAAATCCAAAAATAAGTGGGCTCCACCCACCATTTCCTCAAGCCAATCAGATAACGGCCACATTGAGCTGACCAATCATAGCACGTTCTCTCTAAAACCAATCACGTTAGGCTTTACACTGGGAGTGGGAACTGAATCCGATTCATTTTGAAGATATTTGCAAAACAAGTTTAAGGCTTTTTTATATTTCTATCAGGATAAATTCAGGATCACACACAGATTATGATCACCATCCCAAGCATATAACACCCTCTACACCGGAATCAAGCGGCGCGACAGCGCGTCAGAAGCAAATAGCCCATTATCTTCTCAGCTGCTGTGGTAGTTTCAATAAAGTAAAATACATTTTGCCCATGACGTTTTCTTACCTGCAGATATATGGCACGTCTAATGCATAATTCATAATTCGTGATAATGCATTCTATAGCCTACACTGGACATAGCCTATACTTTGAATGAATAGCACGACACGATGATTCATTGATAGTTGGAATCTGAAACATCAATCACCATCAAAATGTGTAAAACAGAGTTTAAATCAAAAGAACCATCAAAATGAACCTGATCAAAATGAACAGATTATGTACATTGGAAAGTAAATTGTTCAAATGAATGAGGAATTTAATCACTGTGCATCAGTCACTGGTACAGCAGCAACAAATCCACTAAGCGGCCCATCCGTCAGTTCTTAGCTGGACTCTTCAAATGCAGCTTAAAAAAAAAAAAATAAACAAATTACATTTATTTCACATAAAATGTATTTCTTCTGTATGTTGAAAAAAATATTTTCAAAGTGTTAAAAGCAACATGTGTCTTTTAGTTACTTAATTGCATTAAAAAAAAAAAAAAAAAAAACTCAAACTCACTGTATTTCAGTTTATAGTGTGGATTGAACTTTATAGCAGTGAGCAGATTAGTGCCCATGTCTGTGAGATTATTTTTAGTCATATCCATCTCTTTCATGTGTGAGGGATTTGATCTTAGAGCTGAAGCCAGAGCAGCACAACCTTCATCTGTTATTTCACAATCCACTAGCCTTCAGACAGAACAATTACACACTCATTTTAGAACACACAGATATTTCAATATACGCACTCGACTTTATTATATACTTTTTCCTTAGTAGGATAACAAATCCTAAATACTGATCTTACCACAATGTCTCCAGTTTAAATTGAGGATTGCAGAGTTCATCAGAGAGAAATTGCACTCCTTCATCTCCAATTTCATTCCCAGACAGATCCAACTCTCTCAGGTGTGAGGGGTTTGATCTCAGAGCTGAAGTCAGAGCTGCACATCCTTCATCTGACAAGTGACACATTCTCAACCTGCAGAGAGAACAATGGGACATTCTTTAAATTATTTACATTTGATTAGTTCATTAAGAAACTAGTACATGTTACTAACTAATACAACACCACTAGTGTTACGAAGCTGGAGACGAGATGAGATCCATGTGCAGCTTTATTTAGAATCATCAAACAGGCAGGAAACAGCAAAACAGGGATATCAGAGAGTGAGCGCAGAGAGTCATCAGGTAACAGGCAGAGGATCAGGGCAGGCAGCAAACAGGCAGAAGTCAGGAAACAAACCAGGATCGAAACCAGAAACAGGATATTCGCTCAGAAATTACAAGCCGTGGCAAGGCAATACTTCGCAAAGAGTCCTTGTATGAGTGTAGCTTATATAGGCAGTCTGAAATGAGGTGCAGGTGTGTGTGTAATCAGTCACAGGGAAGAGGCATTATGGGAAACGGAGTTCTGGTGGGAGTGATCAGTTCAGATGTGGAGTGCCCTCTGGTGATTCTCTGGGGCACTCCAACTGGTGATCGTCACAACTAGCTTCTTAACTGGACTAATTAAATTCAACACATCAAACCATTTTATTTACTTTTTTATTATCTGTGGGTCTTGAAGAACTTACTTCAGTGTCTCCAATTTACACTGAGGATTTTTTAGTGCATCAGAGAATAGCTTCATGCCTTGATCTCCTAGCTTATTTTCAGACAGATCCAGCTTTCTCAGATGTGAAGGGTTTGAATTCAGGGCAAAAGCCAGAGCGGCACAACCTTCATATGTGATACCACACCGCCACAACCTGCGGACAAATAACAAACAATTCTGTTTGCTTAATTTTAGGAATACAGCGCATGATACACTATGTAAAATAAAATACAAATAAAACTTCAAGTCTGAACTTCTGACAAACATTTTAAACTGTGTGTGCATTCGTAGTTTGTCAAAGTTTAAATATTTTAAGTCTAAAAAAAGTCTTACCCCAGTGTTTCCAATTTGCAGTGAGGACTTCTCAGTCCAGCAGAAAGTAACTTCACACCTGAACTCTGCAGAGGATTGAAGTTTAAGTTCAGTTCTCTCAAACATGATGATTCTGAGCCGAGAGCTGAAGCCAGATCAGTACAGCAATTCTCTGAGAGACTACAACAGCCAAGACTGGAAATAAAATAAGATCGCCTTTATGTTTTCACATATTTTATGTATTTTCATGTGCTAAATAATTTATAGAAAAAAAAAATACTTTGACAGCTTTTAAATAAAATATCAGTGCACTTTAATGACACCAGGAAATATAACATCTGTACAAACACATCCAGACCAAAAGATCTGAGTGTATGATCTGAACATTTATATTTAAAATATACATTTAAAATGTAATTAAAAAATAAAATAAAAATGGTTTTAGATAAGTATAACCGAAGTATATGCTTATAACTATATCAATCAAATCCATTTTTGGTATATAAATGGCACAACAAATGACATTTGTTGTATATACACACTTTCATGAGACTGTTGGATTCAGAAGCTCTATAAACACATATTCTTAACAAAAAAAAGCAGACTTTCTTATTGTGGTGATCATGGGAAAGAGCTGTTCACTTACTCAGCTGATCTGGATGCTTCAACCACAGGCAGAAGATTGTGGAGAACTTGATCCTGTGTGATATTTCTTTGGTTGATCTCATCCCTGATGTATTCCTTTAATTTAAACACTCCCAGCTGCTCTGACGTAAGCAACACAAAAACAAGTGCTGACCACTGTGCTGGAGACAGTTTGGCATCTCTTATCATCCCAGTGCTGAGATAGTCTTGGATTTCATTTTCCAGAGTATGATCACCCAGTTCATTCAGACAGTGAAACAAATTGGTGGATTTCTCAGGAGAAAGATCGTCTCTAATCTTCTTCTTGACATACTGGATAATGTCCTCTGTGTTGTGAGACATTCCTCTTGTTTGTGTCAGTAGGCCCTTAAAAAGAGTTTGATTGGACTCTAACGAGAGACCCAGAAGGAAGCGAAGGAAGAGGTCAAGATGGCCATTCTTACTTTGCAAAGCCAGGTCCACAGCCCTCTCATATACTGTGAAGCCTGCTGAGGACTGAATATTTAAGCCCTGGTATTCACTAAGAACATCTACATGTTTCAAACTGCATGAAAACACATAAAGAGCAGCCAGATGTTCCTGCGTGCTGAGGTGAACAAAGCAGTAGACTTTCCTCTGACACACACTAAACTCCTCTCTGAAGATCTGAGTGCACAATCCTGAGTACACTGATGCTTCTGTCACGTCAATGCCACACTCTCTCAGATCTTCTTCATAGAAGATCACATTGCCTTTCATAAGCTCTTGAAAAGCCAGTTTACCTAGTTTTAGGATCATGTCTTCATCTGTCAATTTCTTCTCAAAGTCTTTCTCACGTTTGATGTTGGTCTGAAGGATCAGGAAGTGTGTGTACATTTGCGTGAGAGTCTTGGGAATCTCTCCACTCTCTGCTCCACTCATCATCTTCTCTAGAACAGTGGCTGAGATCCAGCAGAACACTGGGATGTGGCACATGATGTAGAGGCTCCTCGATAACTTCAAGTGTGAGATGATTTTATTGGCCAGACTCTGATCAGCGATTCTCTTCCTGAAGTATTCCTCCTTCTGTGGGTCATTGAAGCCTCGTACCTCTGTCACTCGATCAACACACTCAGAGGGGATGAGATCAGATGCTGCTGGTCTGGAGGTGATCCAGATGAGAGCCGAGGGAAGCAGATTCCCCAAAATGAGGTTCGTCAGCAGCACGTCCACTGATGTCTCTTTGGTTGCATCACGTAGATTCTCATTGCTGTGAAAATTTAAGTGAAAACGGCACTCGTCCAAACCATCAAAGATGAACAACACTTTATATTTATCACTGAAAATGTCTATTTTCATAGTTTCAGGGAAAAAAACATGGAGAAGATCTGAAAGACTGAGTTTGTCCTTTTTCAAATTGAGCTCTCTGAAAGGAAGTGGAAATATGAGGAAGACGTCCTGATTCTCTTTCCCTTCAGCCCAGTCTAGAATGAACTTCTGCACAGAGACTGTTTTTCCAATGCCAGCGACTCCTTTGGTCAGCACAGCTCTGATGGGTTGGTTTTGTCCAGGTAAGGGTTTGAAGATGTCATTGCAGTTGATTGGGTTGTCCTCCATTGTGGCTTTCCTAAAAGCTTTTTCAATCGATCTGATCTCGTGTTCATTATTGATCTCTCCACCTCCATATTCTGTGATGTAGAGCTCAGTGTAAATCTCATTTAGGGGTGTTGGGGTCCCTTGCTTCTCTAGTCCCTCATAGAAACACTGAAACTTTGTCCTCAAGTCTGATTTAAGTTTGTCGTGGACTTCAGCTTGTTGACAGTCAAAGCTACAACACACATTGCAAAATACACAAATTAGCAAGTGGAGATTGGCACACGGCCAAATATAACGTACTTTATAAGAGTAAATGTTGCAAAACTTATCAATGTTTATTTGAACTTTTTTTTTTTTTACAATGGCTTCAATTTATTTCCACGTGTAAATACCTGCACTCTGTACTGATCTCATGTAGTGTTGGGTTTGTCCTATCCAAACTCTGACACCGTTTTTTCACATGTGACTGGAGAACTTTACAGACTTCAGCACGTAGACAGTCATTACTATGAGTAATTACAACACAGATAAAACTTTAAAATTCAGGGTTTACATTTTATAAATGTCTCAAATGTTTTCCATCTTTATTTTTAAACATACCTGTGTACAGAGGTGTCTCTATCTTTAAAGAACACTGGATGCTCTATTGACTGGCCACTCTTCATGGACAGACAGCTGGGAGCTGGTGAGTCTGTTTCCTCAACCTGCATTGAACTTTAACAAAACAAAAGAATGATCATTTTGTTCAGAACTGATTTTATCATGAAATGTTATTTTATTCAGATCAGGCTTTATTGATAAATAAAGCATTGTTCAATAGTGCCTCCATCTCAAAACTGACCTCGTCTGTCTTTACATTTACAGATTTTCTAAAGCATTTCTGTTGTACCTGCAAAAACATGTTTTACGTTTGATTGACCGGGATTTCTTTGGGGACCCACAGCTTGGCTTTGGTGAACCTGGTCTCTCTGGCTCCATTGATCTGTAACCAAACCAATAAAATGTTCCTTTCAAAACGGTCATCTTGACAATATTTATTTCAAGGTTTATACTGGAAGCACATTTCATCGTAATACAGACTTGTGTTCAAGACTTAACTGAATTCATTTACTTATTCTATAAATCTTAGTAAATCTTAGTGAACAAAAATAACTAACATCACATGACCCCCCCCCCCATCCATTACTACAGAAAGTCATACCATGCATGATATATTTATCTTTATTGTATTTATTATCTAGTAGATAGATCTCTGCCACTTTAGTAAACTGAACTGCATTCAATTACTTAAAAATCACATCACGTTTTAATAGCACCACTGTGCAGTAAACTGATGCAGTTCCAGTTGCCATTTTGACATTACATAAAAACTAAAATAGCTGTTGTAACTGGTGAGATAAGAAATATATTATTATATTAGTACCTAATGAAGCGTTACAGGTTACATTGAGAAGTCACCACGAAGACTTACTATCAACTAAAACAAGCACTTGTAACAAAGTAGTCACTAGCAAGTTTTAAGAAATACATTTCACAGGTCAGGGAGGGGCCAAGCCAGACTGCACCCACCCCTCAAACCCAGGACCACCTTGAGGAGCGTACTAGAGACCAGACAGACAAGTAGAATTTTAAAAGTAACAATCATTATTGAATAAAAACGGGATTTAAATGTCTTGATGTGGATCTCGTATCTCTCCACAGGAAGGAGGAAACCAGGGGGGTTCACCGCACCGTCCCGTGCCACTGGCAGCCATGGAGGGGGAGGGATTCAACCGACGGTCCAGCAAGCAGGTAAGCATCATGGTAAGTAGACCTTCTCGGACGTAATACATGCGGCAGATATCCGGATGGACCAGGACCAGGACCAGGACCGCGGACCAGGAGAGGATTCTTCAACCGGACAGGTGAGTGGCAGGTAAGTTTCCTTCTCCGAGGACAGGTGAGTCTCGGATGGCAGCTGGGCCTCACTGGAGAACAGGTGGGTAGACGGGTCAGTACGTACCCAGGCCGTCAACTGTTCAGTAGGTGGTCGGCACGGGGACTGTGAGGACCAGGAGGCGGACTCGCGGCCAGCCGGGTACGTATGTCTCCTCAGGGCAGAATACACTCCCGTAAGGTCGCTGGGCAGCGGTTATGAGGCCTTCCGGGTATCCTTCTCTCTTGGCGGCTCCAGTCGGAAGCAGAGGTATCCTCTAATCCAGAGACAGAAGCAATTTTACAGGCTCACTTCTCTTTGCAATGGGGCAAGGACTTACGGCTGGAGCGGGTGGCTGGGCTGACACGATGTGGCCAGGGCGGGCCTCTGCTTCAGGCAGACATCCCACAAGAAGGCGGGAGCAGAAGAATCATCTATTCAAACAGACAAGCAATTTTTACAGGTGCAGGCACATTCCTCTGTAAGATGGCGAATCGGGCTTACGGATGGGTGGTGTTGCTCTAAGCAAACAGCACTAAGGCTAGGGTGTGTCCCTCCTTCAGACCGGCATCACACAAGAAGGCAGTGGCAGAAGAATCATCTAATTAAATAGACAGCAGCATTTGAAACAGGTGCAGAAACATTAATCTGTAAGATTGGAGAATCGGGCTTACGGCTGGGTTATGTTGCTCTAAGCAGACAGCGCTGAGGCTAGGGTGTGTCCCTCCTTCAGATAGGCATCACACAAAAAGGCAGCAGGTAGAAGAATCTTCTATTTAAATAGACAGAACAAGTTCTACAGGGCAAGCACACTTCTCTTCAGTATCGAACAGGGAAACCGCAGCCGGAGCGAGCATGCACATTCAACGCTGAGAGTTTGGTTCAGCAAACACTGGGCAAGAATAAGAACTGGGGAAATACTGGCAGTTAAATATACATATACATCCATACACTGCAACTTCACGTCAAGTCCAATACTGTGTGACACTTCAATTCGGGCACTGCATATCCACTCTCACTCTCAGTGCAATAAGGCCAGCACTCACCCAATAACCAATCCTTCCACTGTTACGCTGAATCAGCACTCAGGAGATGAAGAGATGCAGATGACTTCTCACAGCATTGAATACAGCGTCTTCAATACTATCTCAAACTCAGAAGAAGATCCCAGGATTTCAATGATGACTAAGTTCATGCTCTTAAGTGACATAGCCTTATTTCATTTAGATGTGGTATTATTAATTGTACAGTAGCTAAGATTAATTTCTGCGTTTTTTAGTCCCAGTCCGTCCCTGGTACTAGGCCTATAAACAAATCTAACTAATCTTTTATTTTCTTGCAGCTCATTGGTTAGGCTAAACAATTATTGTGAGTCTAAATTAATCCTAATATTAATTTAATAATAAAAGTAAAGTAGTAGCCTAGTAGTAATAATAATAATTTAATTAATTAATTGGAAATGTCAAATCCTCTTGTAGAGGCCGATAGCTGATGCTGAACATCATCAACTTCGTATCAGCGCATCATCTATCGGCACTATCACGGGGCCCTCCAACAAGCGGGGACCCCCTACACCACTAAATCTGTCCTGTCCTCAGGTTGTACAGAATGTTTGTATGATCGTGACAGTTGCTCACTCACCTGTGTCAGGGGAATCTCGCTCGCCTCAGTTGTTTGTCGGTCCAGCACACCGGCGTCAGTACAGTTCAGGTTGGGTTATAATGTTGTGGTGAAACAACATCAAGAAACATGTTCATTTGTCAAAAGTATAGGCCTAAAATCCAAAATTGATGAGGGAGACAACGAGACTCTCACTATCCCAAGTGCAAGACTGAAGTAATCATACCTGTGCACTGGATTGCAGATGAGTGTCGTCATTGTTACGGAGCAGGCTCCCGCTCCGCCTCCTCTCAACCAGCAGAGGGAGCCATCACCAGAGTATTAATCATAGCAGGACTCCATTCTCCATAATGCACCACTACTGGGACTGATTACACACACACCTGAATCTCATCGGACTTCCTATATAAGCCACACTCATACATTCACCCAGTGCGAAGTATTGCATTGCCACGGCTGTAATGACTGAGCGTTTTTCCCTTGCCTGCCTTTCCTGTGTACCGACCTTGATCTGTCCTGCCACTCTCGTTAGTCTGCTGCCTGCCCCGACCCGGATTGTTTTGGATTATTGTTGTTTGCTGCCTGTCCTGATTCTCTGCCTGTTATTCGACCATTCTCTGAGCCTGTTCTGTGATAACCCTGCCTTGCCGATCTCTGACCCTTGCCTGTCTGACTTACCTTCAATAAAGCTGCATATGGATTCAAACATGTCTCGGGTGCCGTTACAGAATACTTCGCCGACCACGAATCCAGCAGCGGTCTTACAGATCTCATCCGAGCTCACGTCCCAAGCCTCACGCCTTGATCTTCATCATCAGCAACTCAGCCACCTGACGACTCTCACGGAGAAGCTGGTCCAAGGTTTGCAAGAGCTACGATCCGCCATCGCTAATCCGCCTACTGCACCTGTTAATCCTCCGGTAGAGAATCCACCAGTGAACCCCACAACTTCCTTAGCCCCGAGACTGGCGTTTCCGGACAAATTCGACGGTAATCCGACCAAATGTAAAGGGTTTCTTCTCCAATGCACCCTCTTCGTAGAACAACAACCATCCCTGTACAGCACGGATTCCAGTCGAATCGCATTTGTTTGCTCCCTGCTCACCGGACGAGCACTGGAATGGGCGACAGCGGTGTGGAATAATACCAGTTCTTCGTTCACTTCGTTCAGTGAGTTCGTTCAACAATTCCGTCAAGTCTTCGAACATACATCTGAACAGGGGGATGCCGGTGAACAGTTATTGACTCTCTCTCAAGGGAATAGATCCGCAGCGGATTATGCTCTCGCCTTCCGCACCCTCGCAGCACAAACCAACTGGGTAGAGAGCACATTAAAAACTCTATTCCGCAAAGGACTGTCTATTGAGCTACAGTCAGAACTCGCCTGCCGTGATGAAGGTAAATCCTTGTCTGAGTTTATCAACCTGGCCATCCAAGTCGATGCTTTGATCCGCTCCCGTCGACCAGTCCGGTTTAACCAACGTTCCCAGTCTGAGAATTTCGCCGAACCTGAACCCATGCAAGTAGGATTCTCTCATCTCACGCCAGAGGAGAGAGAACGTCGCAGACAACAAAGACTCTGCATGTATTGTGGCCAATCAGGACATCTGAAGTTCGCCTGTCCAGTTCGCCCGACAACCGCTCCTCGCCCGGTGAGTTCATGCTCAGAAAGCCTATTGAAACCTTCTAACTTCAAATTACCCATCATTATCACTATTAGAGGAGAACAGATTAATGCCATGGCTCTTATAGATTCTGGTGCCGCGGGGAATTTCATATCTCATACTTTCGCTGATCATTGCAAGCTCAAACTAATTCCCTGTCTTTCCTCCTTGGCAGTGGAGGCGCTAGATGGCAGACCCCTAGGGGAAGGAAGAATTCAAAATAAGACCGAAGAAGTTGAACTACGCGTCAGCTCCCTGCACACTGAACTGATCAGCTTTTATGTCATACAATCACCTCATCACCCCATAGTATTGGGTTTTCCCTGGTTACAAGCTCATAATCCGCAAATTTCCTGGTCAGAGGGGCAAATCATACAATGGAATCTTTCATGTCACGATCGCTGTTTAACCCCGGTAATCCGCGCCCCTTCTCACGCAGCAAATAACGAGTCTCGAAGTGTTTGTGAAATTGATTTACCCCGAGAAAATTCAAGCCCAGTGTCCAAGACAGATCCAGAAACAATAAATATTGAGGAAACAGAGATACCCATCGTTTATGCTGATCTCAGGGAGGCATTCAGCAAGAAGAGGGCTTCCCAACTTCCCGAACACCGCTCCACTGACTGTGCTATCGATCTCATCCCAGGTTCCACTCCACCCCGAGGCCGAGTATTCCCGTTATCACAACCCGAATCTGACGCCATGAGAACCTATATCCAGGAGGAACTCGCTAAGGGCTTCATTCGTCCGTCTACCTCTCCCGCTGCAGCCGGATTCTTCTTTGTTAAGAAAAAAGACGGAGGTTTACGACCCTGCATCGATTACCGGGCTCTTAATGATATCACTGTAAAATTCCGTTATCCTCTTCCTCTAGTGCCAGCAGCTCTCGAACAACTTCGGCAGGCCAAATTCTTCACCAAACTGGATCTACGCAATGCTTATAATTTAATCCGTATCCGAGAGGGGGATGAGTGGAAGACGGCATTTTCTACCACTAGTGGGCACTATGAGTACCTCGTCATGCCATTCGGATTATCCAACAGTCCGTCTGTGTTTCAATCTTTCATGAATGATATTTTTCGAGACATGCTGGACAAGTGGGTGATAGTCTACATAGACGACATTCTGATTTATTCAAATTCCATGGAGGAACACGTTCAGCAGGTCAGACTAGTTCTCGAACGACTCATCCAGCATCAACTCTTTGCCAAAGCTGAAAAATGTGAATTTCATCAGACAAGCACATCATTCCTGGGTTATATTATCAGTCATGAGGGGGTCGCCATGGACGAAGGAAAGGTAAAGGGGGTCCTGGAATGGCCATTACCACAGACTCTAAAGGAACTACAACGTTTTCTAGGATTTGCAAACTTTTACCGAAGATTTATCCGCAATTTCAGCATCATTGCTGCTCCTCTCACGGCTATGACCAAACGCCCGTCATCCAAATTGAAATGGTCTAGCGAGGCAGAACAGGCGTTTAAAGAACTGAAATCCCGATTTACGTCAGCACCCATCCTCCATCATCCAGATCCCGAGAAGCAGTTCATTGTGGAGGTGGATGCGTCCAGCACTGGTGTAGGAGCAGTGTTGTCGCAACGACAAGGAAATCCAGAGAAAATGTATCCATGCGCCTTTTTCTCCCGCAAACTTTCACCGGCTGAGCGAAATTATGATGTGGGGAACAGAGAACTTCTGGCTATGAAACTTGCACTAGAGGAATGGCGACATTGGCTGGAGGGAGCAAGTCAGCCCTTCATCATTTTCACGGATCACAAGAATCTAGAGTATTTACGGTCGGCTAAACGTCTCAACCCTCGCCAAGCAAGATGGGCGTTATTCTTCACCCGTTTCCAGTTTACTGTCACATATCGCCCAGGGTCCAAAAATATCAAGGCTGATGCTCTTTCCCGTCAAGCTGAAGGTACCATTCAGAGTCCTGCTTCAGAAAACATCATCCAACCCAATCTACTGGTGGCTCCCGTCCAATGGGACATCATCACAGAAATCCAACAGGTTAACAGTCACACCCAGATCCCATCCGCATGTCCAGACAACCGACTATACGTCCCGGAATCTCTCAGAATCAGACTCGTCGATCACGTTCATTCAACTCCCAGCTCTGGACACCCAGGGATTACAGCAACTATCCAGCTCCTCCAAAACCGCTTTTGGTGGCCAACCCTAGCATCTGATACCACTAAACATGTGAAGAACTGTGTTAACTGTAACATGTCCAAAACACCCAGACAGCTACCTGCAGGCCTATTAACACCACTCCCCACACCTCAACGCCCCTGGTCTCATATCGCAATCGACTTCATCACCGATCTACCCAAATCTCAGGGTCACACCACCATCCTCACCATAATTGACAGGTTCTCCAAGGCTTGCCGACTCATACCCCTACCCAAACTCCCCACCGCCTTTGAAACTGCTGAAATTCTCTGCAATCAAGTCTTTCGCTTTTACGGTCTACCTGAAGACATTGTCTCCGATCGTGGTCCCCAGTTCACTTCAAGGGTTTGGAGTGCGTTCTTTAAAAATTTAAACGTAAACATCAGCTTAACCTCAGGATACCATCCTCAATCCAACGGTCAGACGGAACGGTTAAATCAAGAAATCACACGCTTTTTAAGGGCTTACTGTCAAAAGGAACAAACAGAGTGGAGCAGATACTTGTTTTGGGCAGAATACGCGCAGAATTCATTGGTCAAACCAGCTACAGGACTAACTCCTTTCAAGTGTATACTCGGCTTCCAACCTCCACTGTTTCCCTGGTCCGGAGAACCGACGGAACTACCTTCTGTAACAGAATGGCTACAAAAGAGTGAAAGGATCTGGAATCAGGCCCATACTCATCTTCTGCATGCTGTCCGAAGACAAGAACTACAGGCCAATCGTCATCGACGCCCTAGCCCTCACTACAGCGCTGGTCAATGGGTGTGGCTCTCCACTAGAGATCTGAGACTCCGACTTCCCTGCCGTAAACTCAGTCCCAGGTATGTTGGTCCATTTCAAATAGTAAAACAAGTTACCCCTGTGTCTTTTCGCTTGGATTTGCCTGCTGATTACCGCATCTCTCCTACCTTCCATGTATCCCTCCTGAAACCTGCTGTGGGCCCGAGGGGAGTGTCGGAAGCGGGAGTCACAGCCCCAGATCCTGCACCGCTCCTGATCAACGGCGAGGAGGCATACCGTGTGCACGAAGTGCTGGACTCCAGGCGCCGGGGTAATGTTCTCCAGTATCTGGTGGATTGGGAGGGGTACGGTCCGGAGGAACAATCTTGGATCAACGCCAGTGATATTCTGGACCCATCACTCACAGAGGAATTCCACCGCAACTATCCGGAGAAACCGGCCCCTCGACCTCGTGGAAGACCCCGGCGTCGTCAACCTTCTCGCCTCAGGAGCTGCTCGCAGGAGGGGGGCTCTGTTACGGAGCAGGCTCCCGCTCCGCCTCCTCTCAACCAGCAGAGGGAGCCATCACCAGAGTATTAATCATAGCAGGACTCCATTCTCCATAATGCACCACTACTGGGACTGATTACACACACACCTGAATCTCATCGGACTTCCTATATAAGCCACACTCATACATTCACCCAGTGCGAAGTATTGCATTGCCACGGCTGTAATGACTGAGCGTTTTTCCCTTGCCTGCCTTTCCTGTGTACCGACCTTGATCTGTCCTGCCACTCTCGTTAGTCTGCTGCCTGCCCCGACCCGGATTGTTTTGGATTATTGTTGTTTGCTGCCTGTCCTGATTCTCTGCCTGTTATTCGACCATTCTCTGAGCCTGTTCTGTGATAACCCTGCCTTGCCGATCTCTGACCCTTGCCTGTCTGACTTACCTTCAATAAAGCTGCATATGGATTCAAACATGTCTCGGGTGCCGTTACAGTCATCATGACTTTACCGGTTTGTCAGCCCTACCCCTAACCTATATCTATCTATCTCAATTAAAGACGCCTTTCTGAAAAGTTCAGAAGAACATAAAGAATCAGAAAGGAAAAGATGTCTTACTTTTTTGTATTTATTAAAATAAATAATAACAGCATTCACAGACCACAAACGTAGCTTACAGTTTTAACAAACCATTAGGGTAAATACTTTTAGTCCACTCCAAATCTATTTGGTGTATAATGTATTTTGATTAATAGGGTGCAGTTTACCAGCATACTACTGTGAAAAGAAGCTATTGCCATATTTGAATACTGATGGCTCCACTGTGTGACTAGACATAATTTGCTGAACAAATTTTTAATTTACCACATTTTAGACTATTTTAGACATTTTAGACTATCCTTATATTATTTTCCATTTATTGGATTTTGACAAAAAAATAAAATAAAAAATACAAGCTGCGGTATTTTTTTACAGTGATGGAGCCCTTACACAGCTGAATTTGAAAAAGAAAAAGAAACATCTCAGCAACTGAACAAAGACATTATTGTTGGAATTTGGTTAGGCATACAGAAAGCAAAAGATTCAGATATCTAGTCCAACAGGTTTTTACAGCTAAATGAAATACATTTAGTACTAGTAATAGAGCAGGATGAGGCCTCTTGCAGTCTGGATAACATTTAGATTTCTCCCTATAACATCAAGCACTATTATAAAAAGCAGAAAGATAACAGATCTGGGTGTGCTGTCAGTAAACAAGATTTCCCTCCTTTTTTTTGTTAAATGTATTTTCATGAGTACTACTGTAGTCAAGAGAAAACTGTGGACAAGTTAACCCTGCAAAAATAGCGTTACAATCTTAACTGCAAATCTAGATGCATATGATAAACCAAAAGCGTGTAAAAAAGTGAAAGTGCAGAAACAACTGAATATTCTCAAATGCATAGTTTTTAGAGTTACAATGCAAGTGCTTACATAGCTACAAGCCCAAGGAAATAACAAGTGAATAAATAGGCAAGTAGCCAACATAGGCTAAACAACTGGCAAATGGCAAATTACCCAACATTTGGGTTTGTACATATTTGACCAAAATTTGGGTGAAACAACCCAGCATTTTTTTAGAGTGTCATTGGAGATGGTGCCTACAGCGGAATCATATCAACCATCAATTTTCTAATGCTTGCACGCTGGTCCAGCATAATATCATACTACTGGAGCCTCCAGTTTGCTGTTTCAAATTATTATTATAAACAGCAAGCATAAACTATGCAAAATCGGCAGCCCTTCCGGCGCACTCAGTGTCCGAATTCACTCGCTCGTTTTCATTAACTTCTTCAAGTGGACTATATTAGTGGAGTAATGTATGGAATAGTGAATAGCAAGAAGGCAACAAGTCAGCTCAGCCGCCTAAGTTTTTGGACTTTAACCGATCAGACAGTGGCACCCATTGTTTCCTTACTTAACTGCTAGTTTAATGAACACGGTATCTTTCAACAGTCAAAAAAAAAAAAAAACACCCAATAGATTGATTCCCAGACTCAAATGAATCAACATGCTCCAATACCAAATTAAATTGATATTCAAAAAATGAGAATATTTCTAATTTTTCATTAAATACAAAATACATGTTACTGAAAATTTGTGTAAGTATTAACAAATAAAACAAACAACATATTTTAAAAATGCACAAGAAAAATCTCAATCCCAAGCATGGTGTCAAAACTAAATTTCCAAGCAATTAGCGAACGACCTAGAAGGTGAGAGGCATGCTACAATTAAACAACAACAAAAAAAAATCTATATGAACTGAAATGATCTATCTTCAGAACTGAATAATCATTCAAATTGTGTGCATCCTTACTTTCACTGACATTCGGTCACAGTTCGCTGATAGACAAGTTGAAACACATTCAGAGACCTATTGGGTTGTAGGGTAGTGCTTCTGGGCTACTGGACCAACATCAGAAACGCAACTTGATTTTGGCCTGGCACGGTGTTGGCCCTGAATCGACAGTGGAAAAATAACTAATCAAACTCAGGAATAGAGTCAAGAGACTCCACTCCAGAACTCCTTTTTGAACTTGACTTGAAATGCCTCTCTTCAGGTGCTTCTTGCGATCTGTGGGACATATATGCTGAACTGATCCCCGAGGAAGGACTGCATCCTTCGGCAACTGCAAGGAAAAAAATTAATAAATGAGACAATCCCTTTAAATATTGCACAATATGCAACTAAATAAAGAACAACTTACTATTTACTGGAATATCCATGCTCCGTGCTCTTTTAATGGGTACAGCAACTGTCCTTTCAACTCTCTCTAAAGTTTCTCTGTCCATTTCATAAAGACTTCCTCTGTTTTCTGCCACCATCTCCTCAATCTTCTCCAGCAGTTCTGTGACCTGAGATTCGTCACCCCAGTTTTTAGTATTGAGAACATGATACCTGTTCCCACATTTCTCAATGAGCCACTGGAGAGCGTCACCTTCACTTGCAATGAATAACTCTATGGGAGTGTCTACTAGTTCATCTCCAACAGCGAACACAACCAGCGTGTGATTCCAGATTCTTTCAAAGAGAGGCTCCATGATTTTCTCTAGTGCGCTCTTCTCTTCCTCCGCAAAGGAAGACTCAACACATAGGACTACAATGAAAGCATGTATTCCTGAAGACTGTTCTGCTACAGCTCTCAAGATGTTGAGTTTAATGTCCTCAAGTCTCTTTCCAATAAGGTAATCTTTCTCAAAACCTGGTGTGTAAACCACAGTGAGATTCCTTCCTTCAACTTCCCCATTTTCTTTTAAATTCTCTTCTATTATTCGGTCAAATGCTTTCCTTCCCAAAATTGTGTTTCCTGTTGAACTCTTGCCAGAATAGTGTGGTCCGAACAACACCAGCCTCATTTCCAAAAGTTCTCCTAGACAAAGACAAAGACAGATGACAAACCATGAATTTTCTCAATTACTTGTTTAAAACCATGTTTTCACTGTTTACTCACCTGATGCTGAATGTCTCTGTTCATTTCTTTTTTGCACTTCTGCCTTTAATTGTTTTGCTCTTTCAACTACTTGCAGCCTTCTGTTTTTTACTTCTTGTAAATTGGTATTTTTTATCTTAAAACAGCTTTGTCTGTTTCCTGTTGTCATCTCTTTTATCTTTTCAAACAGCTCAGTCACTTGATTACCATCATCTTTGTTCCTGTTGTTGAAGACATGATACCGGTTCCCACATTTGTCAATTATCGACTGCAGAGCTTCTCCTTCACTCTCAATGAACAGCTCAATACTTGTGTCTCTCAACCAGTCACCAAAGGTAAAAAGAACAATCATGTGATCCCAGACATCTAGACCAAGATAGGCAACATGTTCTTCTACTGCCTTTTTGTACACTTCAGTGAAAGAAACATCCACTCGTATGACCAGGAGAAAGACGTGAGGTCCTGGAGGACAGTGAGATGAACTCAATACAACCTCATCTTTATAAAGTTTAGGGGTGTATTTTGAGTGGTAATTTCTTCTTCGGCCTGGAGTGTCAACCACAGTAATGGGAAATCCAGCAACATCTCCTTCTCCTACTGCAGATGTAAGTGATCTTTTGCAATCAAATGCAGATTTTCCCAGGATGGTGTTTCCTGCTGAACTTTTCCCAGATCCATTATAACCCAGTAGCACAATCCTCATCTCCGAGAGGGGATGTTTATTTCCTGTTGGCAGACAAAAATCTTTTAAAATGGTACTGTAGGTCAGCATTCTGTATAACCAAAGTTAATATGAAGACCTCTCTGACGAGAAGGAACATTGTGTCATAAATGGAGTAGGCTATAAGTAAACATTAATGAGGTCAAAGTCCCTTAAAGTTAAGTCAGTAGATGGCCATATAATGTTCCTTTTCGTTCAGGGAGACCTACGTCTCGTCGAAGGAGTTTCCAACGAATTGGAATCAAGCTAGGGAGAACAATAGGGAGTACCAGCTGCTGCTTCACGCTATCTGCCTTTTTTTGTCACAGCTGGTATTCGGTTGAGTGCGCAAAGCAGGCTTGCAGTTTCCCCGCTGTGTTCTTCACATTCATCCCTGTGTGCTTCAGCACAATAAGAGAGGGTTTTCTGTGAAAAGAGCTACACGGGTGAAGATCGTGTCCGGGTGAAGATTCATGATGACGTTTCACCCGTGTGTTTTTGGATGCATTCATTTCCTGTCCTCATTTGACGGCCACGATCACTGTTTCACGTGCTTGGGCTTAAGCATGACTGCATTCGTGTGTGGTTTATGTTCTCTCATGAGAACATGACCAGATCGGCACATTGTTCGTCTCCCATTTCTCGTAAAGGTTTTAGCCGCTCAGCGTGCCGTGTGCCGTCAAACTGCCGGCTGACAGCGTGGGTTGTCACAGTCACCCAGCTCACGTCATTCGGCGCTCTAGATGTGCGGTCGTGATTCAGGTGCTTCAAACGAGGAGAAGTCCCTTTGCTTATTCCCTGATCTATTTCCTCTTCTGGTGGCCACCGGAAAAGGGCTGCTTTGGTTAATAGCATTGGTGATCTTTGGATTAAAGTAAGCGTTCTCTGACGAGACAACCTCCTCAGACACCTCACTCCTCTAGCGCATCGCTAACATGTTGAGACTGTGTTCATGAGTGGTTTATTCTCTCTTATGACGACCTCAAGGACTACCATATGTTTCACTACCCTACGGGCTAGTACATACGTGTATACCAGTACCTCCCTTTGAGTGGGCAGGGGCTCGGCAGTATTCCCTCCTACAGGTTGGGCACGCTTCCCCAGTGTTATCCAAATCCACTGAGCGGGGTTGCGGAACAGCAGTGTGATTCTTCTTGGCTAGCTCCCGCCGTAAAGAAAACTAAGAAACTGCTTTGGCATAAAGCTAATGGTAAATGGACTGCATTTATATAGCGCTTTCATAGACCCAATGGCCACCAAAGCACTTTACATTTTCCTCAAATTCACCCATTCAATCACTCATTCATACACCGACGTCGGTGTCAGTCATGCAAGGCGCCATCCAGCTCGTCGGGAGCAGCTGGGGTTAGATGTCTTGCTCACAGACACCTCGACACTTGGTCAGGTGGAACTGAGGATTAAACCACCAACCTTCTGGTTTTTAGACAACCTACATGAGCCATGTAGGTTCTGTCGCCCCTTAGCTGGCTGCTGGAAGGGGCCAGCACCATGGCGTGTTATTAGGGATCCCAATTCGTTGGAAACTCCTCCGACGAGACGTGGGAGTTCCCGAACGAATGCAAGTCCTGCATGCCAATATTCATTGGCTCGTTTTAATTCACTCGAAGGCAGTTGGTCTCCCTAGTGGGATCCCAATTCGTTGGAAACTCCTCCGACGAGACGTCTCTGTTCCCTCCTCAGGGAACGAGGGTTACCATACATAACCGAGACTTTTTCAAGCAGCCTTACATAAAATCTTATTGTTCAAGCAGATAGCAAGTTTACCTAAATAATAAAGCTGCTATGTGCTTGAACAATAATATTTCAAATAAGCAAATAACTATGAGAACAATGGTTAAATAAATAGTCTCTTTAGTACAAATAATGTTAAAAACTCAAGTGAATTGTATCAGAACGAGGTTTTGATTGGTTGTTTAACTGAAAATTTACTCTTTATTCTTATAAGTACCATTTTGAGTGTTAGAATTACTCTTGCTCATTCATTTGGGCCAAGCTCTTTCACCCCTTAAACTGTCTCTGGTTAAACGCAATAGCAACATACATGTACATATAAAAAGCTCACCGCGTGTTCTTGTCAGATTCATCATCCTTCTTTCCTCTGCTCTCTTTTCCTGTTCTCTCCTCTTCTCCTTCACATGTTCCAAAGTCTCTCTGTCAATTTCATAATGGCCGATATCATTTATCATGTTTCCTTCCACCATCTCCTGTATTTTCTTAAGCAGTTCTGTCACCTGAGATCCATCACCCCAGTTTTTAGTATTGAGCTCATGATATCTGTTCCCACATTTCTCAATGAGCCACTGAAGGGTTTCATTTTCATTCTCAATAAACTGTTGTGTTGTCATACCTCCAGGCTGATCTGTACAGGTGAACAACACCATTGTGTGCCTCCATACCTTCTCGCCAAAACATCTAATGTTATCACACAGAATGTGTTTTTCGTTTTGTTTAAATTGTGTGTCCACATTTAAAACCAGGAGCAGGACATGAGGTCCTGGAGGACATTTAGCCACACTCAGGACAATTTCCTGTTTGTACAGTTCAGGATTTTCTTCGAAGGGTAAATTTCCCCACCAGCCTGGAGTATCAACCACAGTGATCTTTGTACCAGCTATTTCACTGGATATTTTCATACTGTGCAAAGTCTTCAAGTCAAACTCATTTTTGCCCAGGATAGTGTTTCCTGCTGAATGTTTCTCATCATTTTTTGGACCAAAAAGGACAATCCTCAGCTCTGTTGAGAGAAAATAAGGGTAGAGAATGTGAGCATATACTACATATATATATATATATATATATATATTCTAGAATACCTGTCTAATAAAGTACATGCAACACATGCTATTCATACTTTGCACGTGACGTCACAAGTACTGGCTGGCGGGCAAGAACACCATTCTCCAGCAACGAAACCCAGTAAATTAGTCAAGGATTTTGCCAGGACGTCGCCAGTTTTTTTTTTAAAAAAGTTGGTGTTGAGGTGTAAATGACACGCCAGATAGTTGTTGTGCGATTGGTTGCACTAACCAGAAGAGATAAGCAACCTTTACAGTATAACGTTACACGTCTGTGCAATGATCATTCCATCACTCAAGGTAATTTCAACATTTGTTTGAATACAAAGGGTGAATGATCATGTAACTAATCGTGTATTTAAGTTATCCTGTAGTTTCGTCAATCAACGCCACCAGCTGGTTCAGCTAGTCAGCTGTTTGTGTTATGAGGCTAACTGTATGTTCACAACGCCGCCGCGAGAGTGGCAAAATTCATTGAAAAATGAATGACTTCTGGGCACTTTGACACTCTCGCCAACGGCTGTGTAAACGCAGCTTAAAAATACGTCGTATGCTAACAACAAAAGTGTGTGATAGATTGTTTTGAGGTTTGTGATATCTATGGTTTCAATAAGAACAGATTTAAACAAATTAATCAAAATCATCAATCATAGTTCCAATATTAAAGGCAATAATCAATAATAAGCAGATAGCCATAATTTCCAGAGCAAAGTTTTATTCATTACTGTAAATGTGACTAAAACGGTTAGAACAAATTGTGCAATAATAAAAATGTGTCACACTCACCTGAGGAGCTATGTGAACTGCTTCGATTCATGACGACACTCAAATTCCTCTTCTCAGGTTCCAAAATTCTTAATTAACAGGTAAATATTAGCTTCAGTCCTTTAAAATAATGCATTAACTGCAGCTATATACAGTACTACAAGCATTGTCAGAGACCTGGTGTGCGTTGCACTGAACTTGTTTACAGAGAACAGCAGAACTTTGCTCCCTTATTGGTGCTGTTTTATTGAGCCATATTTTATATGATGGGCAAAGATCAGTGTGTGTTGATTCCAGAAGAATATATCCATAATATATGTAATCAACAACTGGTGATACAAAAAATAAGATTTATTCACCTTCAACAGGGAAGGTAAAATGCTTCAAACCAGTGTGTTTATGATTATGAAAATGAATCAGAATAATATAAGTAACAGTTTGCAAATTGAAGGTGCATAATTAAGTTTTAATACAGATCAAATAAATGGAAGGGGGTGAGACCAGTAACCTTGACACAATCAAGTGATTAAATCAAGTGATCGCCCACTCTAAATTAAAAATGTTGTAACAAGATGAATCATTATTTTAGCATGATCCATTCATTCGAAGATTTGATTAGAATTGCTTAGATGACTCAAATCAGCTAGTTAATAAGTGCGTGTGTGCGAGTCCATTGTTTTTTGAACGGTCAGTCTTCAGATTCAGATGTTTTAATGGTTTTAAAATCACTTCAGTAGGGGTATCAAAACACTTTCTAAAAGCAGCAAAATGAGAGAAACTGCCTGTGTTCACAACTCCTGTTCCATGTTTCTGTTCAACATCTGACAGACTTAAACGCGTATGGGAAAGGAAAAGCGGGCGTGATTGTCATGTGGAACAAGTGAATGCAAATGAAAATTAAATTACACATTTGAGATCAACTCTTCTGTTCTATGCAACCTTTCTTTAATTAGACAAGAAAGATGCTACAACTTGGCGATGAATGATCACACGGATCACGAGATGACGACTCTCACACATTTTCCTAGCTATGTTCGATTGTCAATCCCAACCCAGCTCAGTCGGCTCATGATGTGGAATTCAATATCTTCCTGCGAGCATTCAACATTGAGGTGGATAAGCAAAAAGGAAAACTCTTACTACATCACGTGGGACCTGAGGGTGTTCATTTTTTATATGCAGCCAGAAACAGGAGAAGACTACTCATCAGTGGTGAGAAAGCTAGATGCCTATTCCTGTCCAAAAGCAATTCCTGAATATAAAACGTATTTATTTAGACAAGCAAAACTTGAAGACGAAACATTGGATGCTTATCACACTAGATTGAGACAGATGGGAGTAAAATGCGAGTTCACAAATGTGGACAAAGAAATCAAATCATATTAATTCTAAGCTGTAGTTCATCGCGTCTCCGCAAGATGGGACTATGAGATGGCGCAATGACGCTTCAAGGAAGAGCTCAAGAAACAGCAGATAAACAAGCAACTGGCATAGAAGCGACACATGCAAGAAAACGTCCTGCTTGCGTTTGTAACCCACCATTCCCTGAAGGAGGGAACGGAAGATGTAGTCGACGGTCGACTAAATGGGGATTGCGTCAGAGAGCCAATGTTCTTTGAGTACTATTGAAGGAGCCAAATGGAATTGGCATGCATGATTCATGCGTGCCCCTGTAGCGAGGGTATAAATACGGAAGTGGATGCACACACTAGTTGCTTTTCGCTGAGGAGCCAAGCGTAACCCGGAGTCAGTGGTGGTCCAGCGGTAGTGACAAGGAGACTACGTCCTCCGTTCCCGCTTTCAGGGAACGGTGGGTTGCATACGCAACCAGGACATTCCATTTCAGTCAATAACGTCAGACGTAGTCGACGGTCGACTGAATGGGGATAACCTTTGAAAATGCCACTAAAGCTGCCACTTTCCAATGCCTAGACAAAAGCCTCCTGATGCCCTGCAATTTTAAGGCAGGGAAGGACAGGGCTTAGGCCAGGGACCCCACTGCTGTTCCAACAGGACCACTGGGAAAGCGTCCCCAGTACATTGGAAGGAAGGGACGCTGCGGAGGCCACATCCATCGGAAGCGATCCCTTTGGAGATGGGTGAGAAGCTCGGTCACTCGGGAGGAGCTCAGAGTAGCTGCTGCTCCTCCACATCAAGAAGGGTCAGCTGAGGTGGCTCGGCCATCTGTTCCTGATGCCTCCTGGATGCCTTCCCGGGATGGTGTTCCGGGCACGTCCCACTGGCAGGAGACTCCGGAAAAGGCCTACGACACGCTGGAGGGACTCTGTCTCCCGGCTGTCCTGGGAACGCTTCGGTGTTCCCCCGGAAGAGCTGGAGGAAGTGTCTAGGGAGAGGGAAGTCTGCTGCCCCCATGACCCGGCCCCCGAATAAGCGGAAGAAAATGGATGGATGGATGGATATATATCGCATTGTCCCTATAATTATCTCTTTCGCTTCCTTAGCGACTGTTACATGTCCTCGAGAATAGGCGTGATCCTCCATCTTCAACAGGCTTTCAAATCTGCCGGATCTCCCCCTCGCATTCGTCACGGTGCCACTGACTGTAAAGCGCAAAATGCAAAGCTTGAATTTCCAATTTCCTTGTATTTTCAAGATGGACACTCAACATGGTTCCCGTCATTCGAGCGACTCGCTTGTACAAATTCTGAATGGCAGATTCTACACTTATGAGAATACTTGATTAGTTGGTGGAAGTAACACCATATGAACGAACGCATCATTTTGCTAGGAATCAACTTAACGTACAGTGCAGCTTTAAGCAAGATGAAAAGAAATATGAAAAACAATCCCAATGGAGGTTTTAGACTTGTATTTTAATGTGCATAATCTTAAATCATGTGCAGCAATACGATCAGACTAAAAACATTGTAGCCCTATTTAGAAACCAATCAGTTTACACCAAAGTGTCATTCTAAAACCCAATGTGCAATTAAATATAATTTACAATTTCTATTTTAGAAATCTCTGTGGTAACAAAATCTTGCCCAGGTTTGTTACAAATCACTGTAATAAAAGCATAAGAGGAGAAATAGGTTAGCCATTGACATTGACTGATACGTTAGCCACAATTACACGGCTATAGGTGATTGTACCTACATAACATATTTTGTTATTGTCAAAAATTATCCGTAAATTCTTACCATGTAAAGAAGTCTTCAGCCTGCCACGATGACACAACCAGAGACATCATAGTAGAGTTTCTCCCATCAGAAGTTCTCATATCATCTGCTGTGTCTCCATTAAAGTTGCCACAAGCGCCACATACTTTGCCTGTCAGGTCTCTGTTTATGGATAGCACGACCCCTCCAGTAACAGAGTAAGTCAGTCTCATGGTAGACATCTTCTCAATGACAACAGCCTCATTTCTGTATGAGACAGACACTCCCTCTTCAGGCATAAAGGGATATGAGACCTTCTTTCCATTCACCTGTTCCAATAAGATACATATTTTCTCAATAGTTTCTCTGTCACCAACCCTTTTTCTTTTTTGAATCAGATATTGGAAGACTATGGCTCATGCACCATGAAAAATAACAACGCATTCTCACCCCAAGGTGTCACCTTTGACCATGCTTCAATATTTGACGTTTTAGGCGCCCTTTAGCGTCACTTACATGACGCGATCCTACGGCGTCATCTAACTGACGCTAAAGGAAAGCGTCAGTTAGAGGACGCGGTTAGGTCTAGGTGTGGGGTGGGGGTAGGGTACACGCGATCCTAGGGCGTCATCTAACTGACGCTAAAGGGCGCCTAAAGCGTCAGATATTGAAGCATGTCCAAATGCTTCCCAAGGCATCAGTTAGGTGACGCCTTGGGAGTGAGAATGGGCTGAAAATAATGCTATATTTATAATCTTTAAAAACATTCCACTGACCCAGCTGTGCCAACGATTGTTGACGGTGATGATCATGTTCTGGAAGAAGACATGGACCATTGTCACTTTACCAGTATTATTCCTGGCACATGCAAGTGCATCTAACACCACACGGAACCAGTCATGAGACTCTTGATCACATAAGAAAGCCATTTGAAAGGATCCTGGCCGGTCAACAATCCCCGTTACACCATCAAATGACTGCAACTGGTCATCTCCATCGAATACACAGTGGCCTTGATCGGGGTAACAATCTCGTTTGCCACCCTGAACATCACAGATGTCTCCTCTGGCACAGGCTTGTTTCACACACTCCAGCACCCCCGCAGAATGACACACACACTTCATGTCACAGGTGTCAGTCACTGAGACTTCGCCAACCTAAGAGGACAGAGCAGAGAAAAGCTTACCCATAGTTCCCTGCACCATCACATGAATTATTGAAATGCAATATATAAGTGTGTGTGTGTGTGTGTGTGTTAAAATACGTTTTCTTATCTCACTCTAATATAATCAGACAACTTCAAGTAGGATGATATAGGTGGGATGACATTATCATTATTCTGCAGAAATTGCACATGTCAGCTTGAACAATGTTTCGAGCTAATCAAAAGACGCTGAGCAATTGATTTATTTAAATATTTCTAAAAAGACATTAAAATGACTGGCAGTTAATTTGGATAATCACATAATCTGTGACAAAGGGTTGTAAAAAAAGTGGATAAGCAGCTCTTATCAGACACAGAAACGATCATTGATGGATTTAAGAAAAGGAATAAATCCCACCTTTAGGTATTTGCCATTATGGACACATCCGCAGTCTCCCAAGGACACACACTTCTCACCATCTGAGAGCAAACCTTCATCACACTGACAGCCTTCCATACAAATATTTGGGCAGCTGTAGGACCCACTAAGGCTGGCACAGGTGTTGGCACAGTTATTAGAGCACTGTACATAGTGACTGTTGGCTGGACAATCGGCCCCTTAAAGAAAGAAAATGCACAAACATATATTATACATTAGGAGTTGTGTGTGGGAACATGAAAGTTATTGTAGATCTAGACTATGTGAGCATGCATTTACTCATCTCACTTGCACAAAAACAGATTCATTATTCCTCAAAATGAACAAAAACAGTCAAATGCAAACTCAGACCATCGCCCAAATCTGAAATAATTAAGTATGTCAGGAAAAGCTCGGGAAATATAATGCATTACTTTCTAAAAAAAGTAACCAAGTAAAGCAATTGGTTACTTTTTTAGGTAGTTATGCAATATTGTAACACACTACTCCCCAACAATGGTTATATGCAACTAAATT